TCCACCCAGCCACCCGCCAGCCATTGACAGAGCCTTTGAGCAAACCAACAAATGGACCGACAGACGACCTGGCTAAGGGACTACTGGCGGACAGGCAAACAAGTTTTTTTTTTGCCCGCGGACAGCATTCGTAGGGGTTGCCACCGCTAGAAAAGATATAAAATAAATTGCGGAATGCCAACAAATAAAAATTTATAAGTGTAGGCATAAAAACATCCCTCATTCTGCCCCCCATTCCCACAGCCAGACTACGGCACGCCCCTTCTGGGGAAACCTCTCTTCCTTGTCAAGATTTCTGCCGACCGAACCAAGACGATTATAAAGAGATTTGTGTGTCTGTGTCGCGGCTGTAGTTTGAGTTTGAGTTGGAATATGAACAGGGACAGAGACAGTGGACAGGGGACAGGGTACAGGGACAGGAGCAGATTGTTCCGTGCCTGATGAGGCGCTGATGACTGTCATCATAATCTCGATTAACATAATAATATCCGTAATCGTAATCATCATTGATGCTGCCCTGATTGTGTCTGTCTGCTGTGGCTGTTGTCTAATTTTATCATCTCATTCTTTCGCTGGACCCAAATTGCCCATAAGTTCGTTTGGTCTGATGTCTTTTTTATGTTTCATTGTTTGTCCTTCGCGATTTGAATTTAATTGCTTAGGGTACGATACCCATGCCCATTGAAGAGGAGGTTCCCGATCTGTGGATTGATGTAATCGCCCGACGGGTCAACCATTTCCTTGATTTTCAAATTTTGTACTTTAAAGCAGCTTAAAGTCCAGCAAAATGAAACGAACTCAATTTGATGTTATCATGGCCATTTCTGGGTGAAAAACGGCCAGAAATCAGGAAAAAAAAAAACAAAAGAGAAAAGAGAAAAAAGGGAAATGCATAAAACGGCGAGGAAACTTTTAGAAAATTCATTTGCCCACTCGAAGCATCCAAGCGACTGCGGAATGGATGGAATATACGAACCTATTGATTGTGCTGTGCATATGGCACCGCTGCGAGGGGATTGGGGATTGGCCCTGGACTTGGACTTGGACAGGTGATGGGGTGAACAAAAAATGGCAACAAAAACTGGCCCACAGTGAGCGGAAGTTTAGTCGAGATTGTCAATGACCAAAGCCAAAGCCCGAGAAGAGGGAAAGGCGAACGCACTTGCGGACATTTTGAGTGATTCACTGAGGCATATGCCATCATTTTTTCTTTTTACCCATACTACTCATACCCCCTTAAAGGGAAAGGGCATGTAAAGGGAAAGGGCGTGTGTCGTACAGAAAAGACTGCTCCTCCCATTCGGCTTCGATCTATCAGAGTTAATGTTCAGGTTGTACTGACTGCATCTGACACTTTGAAATTGAACCAAAGAAAGTTTCGGACTGTATCCTGGTGCCATTGAATGTCCTTCCAGTGTTGCGGTCAGTTATCTTGAGCTGGTCACTGATTTCTTCTTGGAATGCACTCAGCTGCCCTTCAATTGAGTTTACGGGTTGTTTTCGGTTTCGGTTCGTGGTTTTCTTTAGTTTTGATTTTCCACTTGATCGAGTGCAAATTTCAGGCAACAGCCCCGCACTTGCCTCCGCTACCACCTTAGCTCCTACGTCAACAGCTGTTCACTCAACCGTGTTATCAAATTATGAGAATTTTCAACGTAAATATGCATTGCTAATGTGACTGAATTGTTCCCGTTAATTAGGTTGCACCAGCAGGACTATGGCTGTGCCTGGTCTTGGTCCTCGTCCTGCCACATGCCTCAAAGACCACCTGCCCACCCACCTGCCTATCTGCCTAGCTGCCGCTCTGGGACTGTTGGCGTTCTGCATAATTTCCTGTTTGTGGCAAAAAGCTTTCTGGCTGCTTGAAATCGTTGTGCAATTACTGCAAATTGTTCAGCACATTTGTGTGTGGCTCATTTTGCATATTCTATGTGTCAGCAGCCCATTATAATATCAAGTTGAGGAACGTGCCGCAATCGCTTTTCCCCTCACACATACACCACACACACACACACACACACACACTCTTTATGGGCTCGACTCTCTATCTGAGAAGTAAGTCAAATGGGCATTTTGTAGCTGGAGTTGAAATGGCTTTTAATATAATGCGATATTTGTTTGCTTTCCATTGGCCCACATTCCTGAAAGGCTTCACAGTCTTGTAGACAAAGCGTTTAATGGTCATTCAGTGCCTTCAAGCGTATCCCATCCCATCCCATACCCCCTACCCAGCTACCCAGCTTGTTGAGACACAAATTCCATGCAATAAAATTTCAATAAAGTTTCAAAAATACACAAGTCTGTGAAGCAGAGGGAATGGGACAGGGAAATGGGCGGAGAAAGGCCAAAAAGCAAAATCCGTTAGACCATAAAAACAGCACAAGAACAAACATGACCATTCCCATCGGTGTTCTCATCAATGAGTGGAAGACAACGGAAAGGGTCGGATCCGGGGCCGATACTTTAATCAAATGCGACCGCAGCAACAAGAGGCTATAGGGCCCCCAAAAGTGTATTGTGGGTGACAACTCAATGAAGCCATTGGCGGGCAGGGTTGAGGATGGCTGTAGGCTCACAAGTGCTGCCGCAAAAAAGGAACAAAATTCTATTAAAGTAAGTGGAAATGGAGGTATCAAGGCGTAAACCCGAGGGCCACACGCACATGGGAAAGGAAGGGACCGTCGCCGTTGGCCGTTGGCTGGCCAAGTGGAAGCTTTGAACCTTTTATGTGATTTTAATTTTAGCTTAACAACAGACTGATTTTCCAGTCTTAAAGTGAGCTCTTTTGACAGCATTTAGTGGCAGGATTTATCTTATTCTCTGATGCTCGCACTCCGACTGATGTGCACTTTCCTGTGAAAATTCCCTTTGCATAAGTATTGCAATTTTCACCAGCTGTCAGAGCACATCCTCAGGGCTGAGGCCCCTGTGCGTATGAGTGATATGCAAATAAGATTGGCGTGCCAGTCGCAGACAGACAGAATATCGCAGTAGCAGTACCCAGCAGCTGCCAATTAATTGCAGGTCCTCAAAGGTGCCAGTCACATATCATATGCCCGAATATGCCCCGACAACATGAAAAAACCTTGGGCCCTAGAGACTGGCAGGCATTCACATTATCAATTAGATGAGGCAAATATAATTAATAGACGCCACAGCCGCGGGCTCCTTTGTGCCTGACAAATGATAACGATGCGGCGGAAGTAATGAACCACAGAAGTCCCAAACAAAGGCCACCACCACAACACAGACACTCGCATAAATACGGGGAAAACTTGGCTTTGATATCATGTTGATCGGGGCAGAGTTGTTCCAGAGAATAATCCATGGCAAAACTATGGCAACTGCCGCCGCACTTGTGGCATCCGGTCTAGACTTCGTTATAACATAGTGGGCGTTCGGCGAGTTGTGGGTGGTGGGTGTGGGTGAGTGTCCCTGGGGGTTTTTCATGCAGCTGCTGGGCTCTGCTCTGATTAAAGATACAATAAATAAAACATACATACTCGTATATCTGGCTGCATTGCTGTATGTGGGTGTGCGTTATTCCCCATTTACAGTTTGGCAGTAAAAACATTTAATCCGGCATAAACATATGGAACATAGGCATACGCGTACATTAGGGGATGAAGGCGACAGGTGAGCAGTGGGCTTTGGCCACCCACCATTCCCTTATCCTCAGACATCTGCTAGAACGCCCGTCCTGACAGCTGGAAGCCACAGCCAAGGAAAATCTTAGCTTTAAACGTCGAATTATTCATTCATACTTGGGAGTGAGTAACGCAAACAATTTGCGTTTTTGTATTCGCTGCCGAATTCCTAGATACGAGTCTCTAGGGTCCCGGACCCCGGAGTGATAAACCTTTTTTCCCAACTCTCTGTTTGCCTTTCATCAGAAAGCGCCAAGCACATTGCGAAATACTCAGAAAAATATATGGAATTACAAATTGAAAAAAAAGAAATTAAATGAATGAATGAATACGCAGATGAGGATTGGCTTTTTCCAGCGAAATTTGAAACCAAATTAAAATTCTATTTCCACAAAAAAAAAGGTGATAGATAGGGTGTGTGCTAGGCAACGCTCCTACTCTAAAATTCATCTGTAACATCTCTGGCACAGCCTGGCTTCAAGAGTGCTTTCAATCACAGTAGAGATGCGCGTAGCGCAAGGGTACGCCTGCTATGAAACTCTGCTAGGTAACATGGCTAAATCCGATTATAGAAACCCAAAACCAGCTATGAATAGATTGGAGGGAGAGAGGATTTTGATTTTGGCTTCTATTTTGGCTTTGACAAATTTAGAATTTATGAGATATGCTTTAGGGGGAGCCAGCTGCCACTGCCGCCATGTGCGAGCCGTGTGTAATCGTAATAAAAATGCACAACATGGCACAACGCTTTTTCCCTCCAGCTCGGAACACACAAAAGGCAGATCTACAGGCAACTTAGAGCTTACTTAGAGATGTTAACTGCCGTAAGGACTCTTTGACTCTACTCCTCCAAAAACAGAAATACAAAAAAAAAAAGAAAATAACCTAAAGAGTCGGAGTAAAAGTTGCGGCAGCTACAAATTTAATGCGCTTACGATAAATTTTTATTATTCCAGCGGATGATGCCGTTAAAATTGGATATTGAAGACACCTATGTATGGAAGGGGGTGGGGCAGGGGCAGGGGCAGGGATACGGACACGGAGTATGCGAAAAATTTGAATTTTCCGCCATAGCCGTTACTTTTGCTGTTTCCCAGATACTTTAAAGTCCGCTTTCCTTTTCGCACTTACAAGCAGAACGTGCGTCGTTGCTGTTTCAGCCACTGCCTTTGTTTATGTTTTAATGCGGCCATAAAATGCAGGAGAGGATGGACACGAATGGTGCCTGGACGCATTCCAAATGACCGGACGTTCCCACACTTACACACAGTACTACTGGGGGACATGTCCTGCAGGCCTTTGTAGGTCAAAGTAGAAGCCTGTGGGTCGGTGGGCTCTGTGCCCCTGGCTTACCTGGCGTATACTTAATCACCTCGAAGTAACTGGCAAAACTGTTGGAAAACTGCAAGTCGGCACGTGAGATTGATTAAACTTCTGATTTATGTTCGCGCAAATCTCTCCGATCACGAGCACACAAAGCCACAGACAGACACCTGGAAAATGCCACTGGACGAAGAACTGTAAATGTAACCGTCGCTTCTTCAGCGTTTCCTTTTGGGGAACTGTCGATCTCGGAACACGCGCGTTGCTGTCAAGCTTCAAACTGCTTGACTGTCCGCTCGAGTCGTTCTTTTTATAGGGCTCGGGCAGGGACACGGACACTTGCCGCCAATACAGGCATTCAAAACACAACATGTTGCAGGTTGGGCATCCAACCTAACAAGTCTTGCAACCACCCAAGGCGCAGGCGTCGGCTAGGCAGCCCGCAGGACCTCTCTAGGAATAGTCGGGTTCAGAACCAACAAAGCTTTCGATGTCTGATGTCGTCTGATGGCGGCTTATGCCTCAAACATGCTGCAAAGATTGCGAGCTGTTTATCCTCTCCTCAGGCATTGTCAACCGTGTTCGGGTGATATCAATTCCTCTGACAGTTGAATTTGATAAAAAGCCAAAGTACGTTCTGGGCAATTGGCAGAATTATCAGCGAACAATTCTCGGGAGAAACTCTTCCTTGATAGTTCCGCAGAAGCTGTACACCTCGGGCTGTGTTTCAGCTCCTTGCTACGGAATTCCTAATCCTTTTCCAATTTTGCCATTCTTCCACTTTGTGGCAGTCCACTTGAGTAACAAGGATTCTGCAGAAGCACTCCAAATGAACAGCAGCCTGCAATGCTTGGACACGCACCTGAAACGAAAAAAAAGGCAGTAATCGGGCTAAAAGAAGCCTCTCTCGTGTCTTTCACAGATTTTCATTTGGATTTTGAATGGTTGAATGGCACGGCCAGTGAAAATATTGGCATAAAAATGCTAATTAACAATTAATTAGATAGTAAACGATGGAACAGCGGCAGAGGGAACAGACGATGAGAGCACTGCGTATGCGTGATAATTGCTTACCTCTGAGCATATCCTGCACTCTTCGTTAATATTCAATAGCAGGCATTCATTTTAAAATGTTAACTAACTTTTGCACTTTTCCGCAGTGCCCCGAGAGTCGGTCAGGGCAAGCAAAAAAGGGACATTCGCTAGAGGAGCAATGTCCTTTAGAAAGGCTGGCAACTTTCAGCTAAAAGGCTGAAGTATTTCATTAACCTGCCTCGTCCAGATACGCACATTGGCAGCTGATGTCCGGCTGTCTGGCTGTCCGGCTCTCCGTGCGGAAAGCGTTGGCTTGTTTGGCCTGACGCTTCGCCCCCTTTGGGTGCTGCCCCGTTTTAACCAACGATGGAATCAGCGATGCCTGGAAGAGCGGTAAATTGTGTCCAGTGGCTACCGAAGCGTGTTGGTATTTTATTATCATTTTTGTGGTTCTCTGGCCATGTAACGTCACTGTGTGGTGTGGTGTGGTGTGTGGTGCGGTGCCGTGTGTGAGCTGCTGGAGTTTACACTTCAGGTGGTCCTTGTCCCTCGATTCAATGAATATTTCATTTGCAGCTGGGAGTCCTTACAGTGCCAATCCGTAAACCAACGATTCAAGTTCTAACAGAGTAACTTCTGAAAATTAAATGCCAATTGCAAAAATGCAATATACAACACACGAGATGTGTGGAAACCTGTGTACGCATAAAAACCAAGGTAACCGAAAGCAATCAAGATATGCATTGCCTCCGGCAGACATAAAACGAGTTGGAAGTGGTAAACGTGCGCTTGACATAATTCCTTAATTACCAAAACTAGTCATACGTCCTTGACAGAAGTTACATATATACCCAAAATTTGGCCAGTTTGTCTGCTGCATAGTGCATATGGAATAACTATTCACGTACATTGGCCACCCGGGGGATAGGATAGAAAGTTTTGCGTTTTTGTGGGCACTAGCTCATGTGCACAAAATAAATGCATAAAAGCAGTTTGCTTACACTTTGAGTGCACCTGAAACTGATAACTGATTGCACAATTACGAATGCCATCAGCATCCACAATCCACCATCCACCATTCGCAGTATGTCCTGACAGCTGCAGTTACTGGATCAACTATCAGCCCATCAATTGGGCAAAATGAGCCAGAGTCATATCAGGACTGTCAAAGGCAGCAAGGCCTACAGATGACGGAGCCCCTAGGGAGCGCATCAGTAGCCCTTGTCACACCAACACCTGCAGCATACTCGTACCTCTACCCGTACCACATCAGCACGAGCCTTGGCTGTTGACGTGAAATTTCTTATTTGCAGATTCGCGAGTTGCATTTCCTTTTCATTTCGCACTGGTTGCTGCGGCTACTCCACCTCCTCCTGTCGCCTGCTGTCTCGTGCTTCCGCTCTGTCCCGTTGTCATTTCAATTTCAATTTGCTGACGGAAACTCGAAGCGTTGCCCAGCACAACGCTGTCGAAGTTTCGACATTGCCCTAGCCACCAATTAGCGACATTTTCTGAGAAGGAAGAACTCGTAGCTCAGCGTCCTTCGACAGTGGTACGGAGGTGGGTGAAACTGTTGAATTCAAAAACACAAAGCAACATCATGGATTTAATTGACATTTTTGTAAACTGTTTGCCACACTCTCCGGCATGTCAGCTGCAGCAGTTTGACATGATGCCACAAACAATAAACTTTAATTATGGCCTGCCCTCAGAGCTGTGTAAAAGTCACAAAATTGAATTAAATCTGCCGCCGGTCCCAAGAATCACAAGGACATGGTAGGAAGCCGGGTTACGCTGTCCTGCGCTGCCCCAGGCAGCCGTAAAAGTTGTCAAATTTAATTTACACCTGTTTAGAAACATGCAAATATCCGGCCACAATATCTGGCCAGTTCAAAAGGTCCAATGAGTGTCGGTGTGTGTGTGGTATGTGTGTCTATCCTGGACCATCATCTGGCAAATGTTTTGAGAAATGCTCGCCAACGATTCACTGGCCAAAAAGTAGGCAACAAAAAACACCGACAACAGCAATCTAGATGCACTCAGCAAACAAAAAAAAAAACAGGAGGAGTGGGAGTGCTATATGCAGCAAATTGCCAACCCAGTTTCGGCCATTTGCGTGTCCATCTGTCCCGTGTGCTCTTGTCTCGTGTGCTCGGTCTTTGGCCACTTACTACTGCCATTCGAATCTCACAGCTTTTCCCCGAGCAGATTCTCGTCTTTCTTTCCGCCCTCAGTCTCTCTATTTGCTGCCTGCTGTGTCATAGATTGATAGCTACACTAACTTTGATATATTGCCCGCTGCACATACGAGTACACACCCCGCCGGACTGATACAATATTGCCAAACTGTCAGGCGGAGGGCACTCGGCCAAGAGCGTAGCAAGACCACGTCCTCTGCCTCCCAAATCAATGTCAACTGCACCTCGGGAGAGTTTAATTACAGCCACAGGATCTCCACATGGCTCTCAGCATTATGCAAGCCCGAAACTAATCAACGACTCGTCTCTCCTTTGCGCTTGTCACCGAAGATGACATTTATTGACTGCAGAAACTTGTTAAGTTTCAGTCAATTTATTGGATAAAGTTATCGCAGCTAAACTTCAAACTGAGGGCTGGTTAACATGACCCAGGAAGTAGGTGCTCTGCGCGTCCTTGATGGCAAAGAAAAAGGGGTGGTCCGCGGTAAACTGTTGTACTTCTCCCGCGAACGCAGACTCCAGTGAGAACTTGACAGCGGTGGCCGCACTGGCAGTGGTTCCGTTCTCGTTTACCTCGATGAGAGCCTTGTGCCTCACCTCGGATATCGTCAGGGGGTCCGGTGTCTGCAGCAGGCTGCTGAAGTTGGCTTGTGTACCGAACGGGGTCTCGATGCCCATCTGAAGGGATAGTCAATCGGTTACACGTGGGCTCATATCTCCTCCTTCCCCAGCTCATACTCACCTGCTTCAGCACAGGCTTCAGGGAGACATCGAACTCGAACTTGAATTTGGGCAGCTGCAGCTCCACCATCTGCCTGCTCAGCTGCGAACTAATCTCGTTCAGGTTCAGTCCGCTCAGCCTTTGCTCAAGTGCAGGCAGTCCCTGCTCCTCCAGAGGCAGAATGATCAGGAACACAATGTCCGTGCCTTTGTAGGGCATTTCCAATGCCTTTGCTTTCAGAGCGGACAGCTCGCCGTACCTGAAAAAGTCAGTCTGATACATGGTGTTCACCTTGACCTTCACTCCAGTAGGGCTGGCAAAGTCTTGCAGATCCGTCCTATACTCGGCGAAACTATTCACCCAGTCGGCTTTGAAGTAGATCGCATTGATCAGGATGGCGACCGTGTCCGCGTCGAGGGTGTCGGCGCTGATAAGGTCCTTGATTTGATTATGGGTCTGCTCCTCCACCCAGGAATTGATTTTCAGGGCTGCTTTAGTGCCTTGTGCGAAGTTCACATTCTCGGCAGCTGCGTTAAAGTCTTTAGCGGCCAACTCTTGATAGCTTTGAGCCAGCCGGAAGCGCTCGGCCACGTAGATTCGGTTGGCATAGTTGAACTGAACAACATCCTCATCCTGATCTGCCTTTCGTTGTCCTTTAGCCAAGAGCTGAGCGAATCGTTGGGCCACCTCATTCTTGTCGGCTCCCTCCAATGCGAGGCCTTGTTTCAGCTCCTCGGCAGTGGTGCCGCCGGAGCCCAGATAGGCCAATGCCAGGCCTGTCCTGATGGACGATGGGGAGAACACAAGATTTCCACCAGCCTCAGACTTCGCCAGGTGACCGAACAGCTCTAAGGAAAACTTTCCATCGCCTGCGGAGCTGCTGGAATTGTTAATGGACTTGGCCATGATAAGCACAGAGCTCAGGAGCAGAAAAAGTGAAAACGTGGCCTTGGATGCTGGGGAAGACATAGGACAGAGGATTAGACAGAGCAAAGGGAAGAATGTAAGTACGTATGTGAATGTCTCCTACCCAACATGATGAGGCTGAATGAATTACCCCAAGTTCCGTGTTCCTTTATATACCCAAAGATTTTTAATTTGATCGTCATCCTAATCATGTATTATTTCTCTTTATAATTCTCTCTTAATTCTCAGTTTTAAAAGCGTTTCAACTTCATATGTATTTGTATAAACTTATTTGATTTTCTCTTTCATATGATTGATAGAATATTCGAGCATTCCACTAAGAGCATTCATTCCGTCATTCTCTGTCAGTGTTTCTCCCCTATTTTCCACTCTTCCCGCATGCACACTCTTTTGTCATATTTATGCTCTCTGTTATGTTCTCTATTAATGCTCTGTTGCTGACCTGCGGTGATGTCATTGTGTTTACAATTAAGTACAAACAATATTGACACTGAAGCAGTTCTCGGTATAAAAATATGAAAATCACAGGTTAAATACGTCACTAAGAAGTACACTTACGAGATTCAAAGAATTGATAGTCGTAGCTTCGTAGCTTCTTAGTATACAAGTTTAAGCAAGTTCAACCAGAGAGATAAAGACTCTCCGACGTTCTGGAGAAAACTGAGCCACTTTGTCTTCCCCCCTTTCTATTTTAAATATGTATGTATGTATGTACATATGAATGTATGTATTTTAACTGAAATAGATACAGCGATATACATTGATTTATGTACATACATATGTAAGTGTGGATGATAAGCGGATGTACATGCCTGCACTCCGCTTTGTAATTTGAAAGCACCCTTCAAATATTTAGAGTGTCCCTAAAAATAGTCACCACATAGGTGCTAGAGCATAAATAAATAAATACAAATTCATATATACATATGTACCTACTATATGTATGGAAATGTATATTACATACTGTTAAAAATGACTCTACAAGTAGCAAAAGATACTCTCATAACTCAGAGTGGAGCGCTTGCAAATTATTTCAATAGAACATTAGACTGCTCTATCATAGTGGGCATAAATATGAACTTCTTGATGTATATTTTAATTTTATTTGACATGTGTACATAGCATAGTTATTACTCAGGGGCTGACCACATGACCCTGGAAGTAGATTGTTCTCTGATCGCGTATGACGAAAGCAAAGGGACGATCGAACGTAAACGACATGGTGAAGCCCGACCGATTGGTAATCATTCCATCTGTGAATCATCAAAAAATCACATACATAAGTATATGAGCATTTATGTACCCACATAAGAAGGATTATGTAGCAATAATCAAGTCTGATAAGCAAATCGATACGTACACGTGGCAGCAGTGGCCTCGGCCCCCTCCTCGTTGACTTCCAGAACCGCTTTGTGGGCGAATTTGCTGATCTTCCCATTGGCCATATCAGCGAATAGGTCGCTCAGATCGGAGTGGTCAGTGAACAGCTCTCGGATGCCCAGCTGCAAGGGAGATGTAGAGCGGTGACTTATAGCTTCTGGACTCTTTTACTCACCTTTTGCAGTGTTTCCTTGAGGTCTTCGCCGAACTCTATTTTGAACTTGGGCAGCCTTACGACAGCCTCCATATGATGCAGGCGCCGCGAGAAGCCAGAGATCTTCCCTTCCATAGCGCTGAGGCCATCGCGTGTCCTGGGCAGGAACAGGAACATGGACAGGTTGGAGTTGAGGTACGGCAACTCTATCACCCCTGCCTGGAGATCGTTGAAGTAGCCAACCTTGAAGTCACCCGTTTGAGACATCATCTGAACGGGAACCGTTTCTTCGGCCGTCACCCAGAAATTGGCCTCCTGGGTGTCATTGGCATCGAACTTTGACTGCCACTCGCCCTTGAAGTAGATGGCATTCACCAGCACTGCCATCACGTCGGACGTGAGGCTGTTGGGGGACAGAAGATCCACAATCTCGCCGTTCGTCTGGTCTAGTACCCACTTGTTGATGCTCTCTGTCGGATCCACGCCGCCGTCGAGGCTAAACATCTGTGCATCAGCGTGAAAAGCGTCACGAGCCACCTGGTTGTACTCCTCCCTCAAACGAAAACGATCATTCACATAAATGCGGTTGGCCAGCTTCAGGGTGGGACCATCCGCTCGTGCCTGGAGGAGGTCGTCGAGGACCGCCTTGTATTTGCTGGCCACCAGTTGCTTGTCCTTTGACGGTAATTTAAGATAGCTTTGCAGCTCTGTGGCCGTAGCACCTGCAGCTCCCATGTAGACCAGGCTGAGTATGGTATCGATGGAGAAGGGGGAGATGATGAGATTCTTGCTGGCATGATCCTTAGCCAGCATTTGGTAAATCTCCTCGGAGGCTTGGCATGCCACAAGGGCTGCCAAGAGCGTAAGGCCTGCGCAGAGATAGGAGTAGACTAAACTTTGAACATAACCTGATACAGATCTCAACCCCCAACTTACACAAGTAGAATCTCATTTAATTTATTGCCTCTAACGAACTGTTCGCCGGTGAGTCTGTCTATGAACTGATCGTGATCTGAGACGTGTTTTTTATGGACGGAGCTTGAAGATTGCGGGTTCTGACTGCAACCCAATTGAAACGATTGATTGGGTTTTTCTCAAATGATTTTTATTTACTCTCTTGACTTAAACTAGCACGACTCGAGTCGTCCAGTGATGCAATTGAGTCTCTCTTCAGATCACTGGGGGGGCATACGACGCGTCCGGCGAAAAATACCGCCTGACTGCTGCGTATATAGAACACGAACGGGTGGTCCACTTTGAACAGCTTCTTTTGCATGTTCAGACTCATCGGTACAATCTTCATGACTGCAAGGGGAAGCAAAAACTTAAAATTAGCTGAATATGGCAGTGAAATCGGGGGAAAATCCACTCACACGTCGCTGCCGCTGCCTCAGATCCTGCCTCGTTTATGCTGATGTAACCGCGATGCTTGGCCGCCGAAATCTTTTGTCCCGTCTTCGTGGTGAAGAGTCTGTCCAGATTGGCCTCGTTGCCAAAGACCTCCGATATCCCCAGCTATCGGAAAAACGATCGAATCCGTTTAGTTCAATCATCAGAAGGTGACCCCTCTCTCTCCACTCACCTGCATGAGTACGTCCTTGAGATCCACATCGAATTCGATGGTCAGCTTGGGCATGGCTATATCCACATCCTCCAGTGTCATGGCATCCTCAATATCGGCCAGATCCACCGACTTCAGCCGCTCCTCTAGATCTAGTATGCCGCACGTGGTGTCGGGCAGGATGATCAGCATGGAGATGTTCGAGTGCTCGTAGGGAAGCTGCACGGCCCGTGCCTGCAGGTGGGGCAGCTCGGCGTACTTGAACTTGTCCTCCTGGTACATCATGTCCACCTTCACGCGGTCTCGCAAGTTCAAGCAGAAGTCGTCCTGCTGGGTGGTCTCCGGTGTGAAGGGCTTCCGCCACTTGCCCTTGAAGTACAGAGCGTTGATGAGCACTGCACTCGTCTCCTGGTCGACTGCATCCGACTGCAGCAGCTCACTGATTTTGTCTTCCGTCTGCTCCTTCACCCAGGAGTTGATCTGGTCCGTCACGGCCACCGCGTTGGAGAACTTTACGGCCTCTGCCTTCGACTGGAAGAAGTCCCAGGCAACCGCATTAAACTCCGGCTGCAGTTCCAGCGTATCGTTCACATACAAGCGGTTGACAGACTTCAGCACGGGTCCCATAGCGCCGTAGTTGCAGCTGGTTGTCCAGAACTCGCCAAAGGAACGGGCAATGTGCGCCCTGTCGCCCGGTCCCAGGTGCAAGCCCTGCCGCAGCTCTTCGGCCGTCGATCCGGATGCCGCCATAAAGGCCAGTGTCAAACAGCTCTGTATGGAGGCCGGCGAGACGACTGTATTGACGCCTGGCTGACTGCTCTGCTCGAGAGCATTCTTGGTGATGGCATTCACCAGTTCCCGAGAAAACTGATTTCGGCTAACCTCGGCCAGTGCCATCTGCAAGCATTAAATGTTGATTTTTTTTGTTTTTTTAATTTTTAAAATACATTTTTTTTTTTTAATTTTAAATGTCATCGAGGTGAGTTAGCTTAAGTATTTTTACTAGAATTATGCTCCCTTTCGGTGTTAATTTCAGCAAAATCCCCTGCAAATACTTTACTATTAAACAAATTAATTTTCGTACCACATTTGCTATCGTTGTATGAAGTTGCCTTGTGGGCGAAATACGAAAGCTAATTAATTAATTAAATGATTAATAATCGCACCAATAGATGATAAGTCAAAACACTAAGCACCCATTGTTGTATTTCATTTTGTTATCCCAAAAGTGATTGGAAACTTCTGTCAATTTTGCAAGCCTGTTTGTTGTTTGTTTGTTTGTTTGTTTGTGTGGCGAAGCAATAGTTCAGGCTGTCCGATAATCCACTCCACCGATTGCTACTGGCAGGGAACGAAAGACAAAAGTCGTTGACGCGCGCACCGATAGGAGTTGATTGGCTTCAGCAGGTGAGAATACTGTCTCACTGTCTCTCTCCACCCTGGCAGTGACGTTCTGATTGATTGTTTACTTACTTCTCAACGAGAAAATAGAAATATAATTAAATATTGGTAACGGAATCAAGCAGTGGAGCTCGCGGTGCTAGGTGTTCGGCTGACGGTATGGGGCTGACTAACGCACTGCGGAGTGGGTGGTGTTCTTCGTGACTCAGACCCGAGCGCCCGACATACCTACTCGGTGTCGGTCCCGATTAGATAAATTCCAAAAGAGGAAGCAATCACTTGAGCGCGAGAGAGGAAACAAAATTCTCACATCAGAAGATAATGATTCAAAAAATAGTACCTGAGCAATTCAGATTATATTAGCATAGGCGACGATAGCTAATCTCATTGCTGGTTGTTTTTCAAAGCAAGCTGCTGGAAAGAAAGAAAGCTTCAGAGAGATATTATGAAAAAGGGTAACCGTAACCAACCCATAATATTACAGCGAAATAACTTTCTCCGATAAACAACAATGACAGATCCAAGTGCAACCAAGCAGCTGGAGGAGGCGTTCGTCTATGGCCTGCATGAGCAATTAAGCAATGCAAATCCCGGCAAGAATCTTATCTACTCGCCACTGTCCATTCAAGTGTGTGCGGCAATGGTGCGTATAGGTGCTGGGGAGGGCACGGCCACAGCCCGGGAATTGGACGAGGGACTGCGGTTTAGCAACAGCAACGCGGACAAGATAGCCGATGGGTTCGAGGCTGTTCTCTCCGCCATTCGTAAATGCAAGGCCCTGAAGATGGCCAACAGGTTGTTTATCATGAAGGGGTGCAAACCCAATCAGAGGTTTGCCAGCATTCTGGAGAAGAAGTTCCACTCCAAGCCGATGGGCATCGATTTTGGGAGCAGCTCAGCTGCGGAGACCATCAACAGTTGGGTGGAGAAGGAGACCGAAAAGCTCATAAAGAACATTGTCAGCCCAGGAGCCCTGAACGACAGCACTCGCCTGGTTCTTGTCAATGCCATCTACTTTAAGGGCGTGTGGTCCATAAGGTTCGATGAGGAGGACACACGCGAGGAGGACTTCTTTCCGGAGCAGGGCAATCCGTTCAAGGTGTCTATGATGAATGTTGTGCATTCGTTTCAGTATGCGGAACTGCCCCAACTGGGGGCCACAGCCCTTAAAATGTTATACACAGACTGCGATCTATCCATGATTGTCATTTTGCCCAATGAAAATACGGGTCTGAAGAATCTGGAGCAAAAGCTGCCGACCACCTCCTTAAGAGCTATCACATCCGACATGTCCCTCACGAAAGTTGATGTCAAAATCCCAAAGTTTAGAGTCGAATTCGAGCAGGAGTTGTCTTCAGCTTTTAAGAAGGTTAGCCTGGCTAAGCATTAGTGGGAAAACAGTCGATGTAAACTACTTGAACTACTTTTTTAGATGGGCATGAAACGTATATTCAGTGACGAGGCCGAGCTGGACCAGACGTTGGAGTCCCAAGAGGCCATCAAGGTCTCCCAGTTATTACACAAGGCCTTCATAGATGTCAACGAGGTGGGCACGGAGGCAGCCGCAGCAACGGGTGAGTCTACAGGTGTGGTTCGAAGCGGTCTGATAATATTTGCCCTCATTCCACTAGCTGCTGTCATGTCTATGCGAAGCCTGCCCGCAACCCCAGTGGATCGACCAAAGCTCTTCCACGCCAACAGACCCTTCTACTATACGATCTGTGATCGCAATCAGGGCATCCTCTTTGTGGGACGCTTCACAGCTGGAGGGCTAACCTGAAGTATTATTCTTGGTAAATTTAATAATAATAAAACTCTTATCAAAAAGTACATAAATTTGCTCAGTTCCAGCCATAATATTTTCGAAACCGTGAAAACAAAATCATTGGGTTTTTTTCTCTTATCAGCATTCTAGGAATGTTTAAGCGGAGCTCGCTGGAACAGAGGCCGACTTGTGCAGATAACAGTACTGCATGAAGTCAGTATGAAACGTACATTTGTGGAAATAGGTTGATTGAATACACTAATTATAGCGATAGAAAAGTACAACTTGGAGAATGCATAAACACGTGGAATTAATTGGTAAGCAGGCGTAAGAGAGCGCATACGTTGAAACTTTCAAGTGAGCTCACATTTCAATGACCGCTGCTGTACATAAGAGCGCTACCTATGGATGTAATAAAAAGAGAAGAACCAGTTTAGAGAGTGATTGTGGTGTGAAATATTGCTAAGAGAGCTTTCTGGGAATGCATCAACTAGTATTAGTACACTTTAGATATACACATACTCGTATGTATGTATATGTAGTATGTGTGCAGTAGGAGAACCAATTGTTGTTGTGGTGTGGCCAGATATAAAAGCATAAAATCAATGAGCACTCGGAGAGAGCATTCATTTGGAACCAAGCAAGAACGCGCGAACAGCGGACCAAAGCAAGCAAATCAAAAAGGAAGAAGGAGAACGAAAACACTGCTGGAGAAAGCTCGAATCAACAGTTAGCGGACGGACGCAGTAAATATTTTAGATAGAAGAGGCGTATAAATCCCCATCGAGACGGCAAAACCGAGTGGAATAGTGACAGACATTTGTGGAGGTGACTCATCGGTCCACAACAATTACATAAATAAATATTGTATACAAATCATCATATGAAATCAAAGCTCATTTCCCACTTTCTCTTGCAGCTTGCTGGCTGCTCTCGCTGCTCTTCCTCACCCTCACCCTCTCGCCAATCGTCGAGCCGGTTCAGGCCGCCAGTGACGTCACCATGCCACAAACCACTGAAGTGGAATTCTCACGCCGGCTGGCCATCTTCTCCCTCAACGTGCACCAGAAGCTGTCGCTGCTGAATCCAGACCAGAACGTGGTCTTCTCCCCATTCTCCATACAGACCTGCGCGGCCATGGCACGCCTGGGTGCCGAGGGAGAGACAGCCGCGGAGCTGGACCGAGGTCTGGGACTGATCTCCAGCGACGCTTCAGAGATAGCCCAGAGCTTCCACCAAGTGCTGGCCACCTACGAGGAGAGCCAGATCCTGCACATAGCCAACAAGGTCTTCGTGATGCAGGGATACCCGCTCCGCGAGGAGTTCAACCAGCTGCTCACCAAGGAGTTCCTCTCGGCGGCGCAGAGCGTAAACTTTGCCCAGAGCGCCGAGGCAGCAGGCACCATCAACGCGTGGGTGGAGCAGAGGACCAATAATCTGATCAAGGACCTGGTGCCGGCCAGTGCCCTGGACGCCAACTCCCGCCTGGTCCTAGTTAATGCCATCCACTTCAAGGGCACCTGGGCGCACAAGTTCCCCCAGCAGGCCACTCAGCAGGAGTTGTTTCACCTGAACGAGAAGCAGAGCACAATGGTACCAATGATGAACTTGAAGAAGAAATTCCGCTATGCGGATCTGCCCGAGCTGGGTGCCGCTGCCCTGGAATTGCCCTACGCGGACTCGGACTTGTCCATGCTGGTTGTTCTGCCCAAGAGCAGGACGGGTCTGCCCGCGCTGGAGGAGAAACTGAGGGGTACGCCTCTCTCGGTGATCACGCAGGCGCTGCGGAAGACCGAGGTGGTGGTCAAGCTGCCCAAGTTTAAGGCCGAGTTCCAGGCGGAGCTGTCGGAGGTGTTCAAACAGGTGGGAATCGAAATGTGTTATATCTAAGCAACTTCTAATGTCTGCTGTTCACTATCCAACCACCAGCTGGGCATGGCCAAGATGTTCGACAACAAAGCAGAGTTTAACAAAATGCTTCAGAGTCCCGAACAGTTGAAGGTGTCGGCTATCATCCACAAGGCATTCATCGATGTGAACGAGGAGGGCACCGAGGCGGCAGCAGCCACTGGTGAGTGCTTATCCAATCCAATACATTCCATTTACATTCACCGATCTCCGATCTCGCATTTCGTCCTTTGCATGCCCTGTGTCTCACTTCTTCATTCGTGTCAATTGTGTTGTCTTCTCGCATCTTCCCCACAGGCGCCGTGGTGCGAATGAAGCGCAGTATTGTCTCATTAGAGGAACCTGTCGAGTTCCATGCCGATCATCCATTCATCTATGGTCTGCTCCATCAAGCGGACCTGCCACTGTTCTGGGGCTCTGTGGTGCGGCTCGAGGGGATGTCCTCTGAATCCGGTGCAGCGCACAACGAGTTATGATAGCATCTCATCCAATTTGGACTCAATAAAGGCAGCTAAATTTTAATGTACATCAAAAGTTTCTCGGGCAAGGGCTAAGTAAGTTAATGCATTTTGTGTGTTTCTTCTTGTTTGGGGTTGTTCAATTAAAAGACAAACTTGTCAATCAAATTGAATTTTTAGAATCATTCATCTACTTATATTTTCCATTTCTAATAGAGTGCACGCTGACATTCATTTCCATATATTTGTATGTATAATTCAATCATGCGGGTCCTTCCTTTTTGCTCCATTTTCAGGAATGATAATGATGTTGTGTTCGATGCCCATGTCCCAGCCGGAACGCATACGATTCTATGCCGATCATCCATTTAACTATTACATTATCAACAAGGACTCGACCATTCTATTTGCCGGAAAACAGATAAAGCTCTAAACGGTGTACCTACTCCAATTGCCAGTATCTAGATCGTTCATCTAACTAGCAACGACTATTCAAATTTTCCATTTCTAATAGAGTGCACGCTGACTTTCATTTCCATTTATTTTTATTTCTAATTTATGTCTAACATCCAACAAATGCAATCCTTTCAATCATGCGAGTCCTGCCTTTCTGCTCCATTTTTAGGAATGATACTGGTTATGCATTCGATACCCAGGCCCGATCCGGAACCCAAACTATTCTATGCCGATCATCCATTTACCTATTACATTATCAAGAAGGACTCGACCATTCTCTTTGCTGGCAAACAGATAAAGCTCTAAACTTTGTAATAACCTCTAATATCCAACAATTTGAATGTCATTTAATCATGCGACTATTGTTTTTTTTTTAAATCAACCAATTTGTTTGCTGGAAAATTTATAACTAAGCAATTAATAGGATCTACCAATTAGATCAACAAATTTAATTCCATTCCGATCTTACGGTTAATGATGCGATTTCAGATGCCCAGGATCCAGCCAGATCCCAGGCGCTTCTATGCCGATCATTCATTTCAATTTTCTATTATAAACAAAGACGCGACAGCTCTCTTTGCTGGACAAAATTTTTAAACTTTAAACTAAGACTTGAGACTGCACAAAATCAACGATCTTCTACACAAGCATTTGTTCTAACCCAGCATATAAGAAATCCCTTTTCAATAAAGGTTCGCCAAATAATTTCTGGTTGTTTTAAATGGTGACTCATCCCTTACTTTTCGATATGAAGGCACAGAACGATCTGCCGGTACTTGGACTACACTTAGCTTCAATGTTACAAAAAATAAAATAAGATAATCGCACGACACTTAATAGCTGTTGTTTTCGTCAACTCCAAGTAATTTATAGAAATACCTTTGGGGGAACGGGAACTCATCCATGCATGAGAGATGAGCATGCAATCAGTGACTCTGTATCGCCAATCGATCAAAGATTCCCAATAGTTGATCTTGGACTGCTTAGTGGAACACACCCAAGATGCTCCGCTTGCTGCAGTCTCTGGTTCTTCTAGCCACCCTCCGCCTGGGCCAGGGACAGGCCATCGTTTCCTCTGTTCAGTTAAATTGTAAGTGCCCGCTTGCCAGCCTCTATAAAAGGATAATCGAGTGCAGGATCATCTGCAGTGACTCTATACAAGCGGATGCCCGCCTTGTACCAGCTTGACGACTACGACCTCTGCCTGGGAAGCGACTCCCGCACCTACTGTCTGGTCTATGCCGAGATCGTGCCGAATGCCAGCTCCACTCTGTGGCAGCAAATCCAAGGTCTCTCCGGGGATGTCAAGCATCGCTTTCGGCACGATCGCCTCTTCAGGGGTATTTGCCTGGAGCGCTGTCAGCTCAATCATCAGCACTTGTACGAGGGAGGGGTCCTAGATGAGGACCTGAGCTCCTACTATTCCAGAGTGCATGGACGATCTGCAGTAGAGCGCCTGCTCAACGATCCGCTGGTCAATAGCTGTTTGAATCTGGAATTTAGCCAGAAATTCTCGTTGCGTGTACGCAGCCTCATCGAGTATTGCGTGAAGTCGGGCGAAAACTTGCCGCACGGTAAGTATCTCATCGAGTGTTTCACAGTGTTTCCTAAGTGGGTTAACCTTCCAACTTCTATCCTACAGATGCCCTTGATCTAACTGTTTGCGCTCTTGTGGCTGCTATCCTGCTGATCACTGTATTATCCACCCTCTACGATCATATTCTGAGGAAACGCGACTCCCAGGCAGACAACCTCTTCTATCAGCAGTGCCCACAGCATTGGAGTAGGTAGTCACTTCTCTGGAGCGAGCATTCTCATTACTGTGGCTTGATCTTAATAGGGGAGCAGCTACTCACCTCCTTCTCGCTGGTGCGCAACTACTATCGCCTGACCCTGGCCAATGGCAGCGACTTTGCACGCGATATTCGATTCTTCGATGCCTTCCGGGTGATCGGAGTGTTTGTTGTGATCTTGGGCCACACGCTGATGGTTTTCATGACGGTGCAGATTGAGAATCCCGAGTTCTACGAGCAGTTCCTTTACCGATTCGAGACCTCGATCTTCCAGAATGGCAGTGTGTTCATCCAGATCTTCTTTGTGATGAGCGGCTTCCTTCTCTATGTGAACTTCACCGAGCGCCAGCTGGTCCACCCAAAGTCGGGGATTCTGGAATGCATCGGCGTTTACTTTCGTGTGTTCTTCTACAGATACTTTAGACTCTTGCCCTCGCTCCTGGCTGTGATCCTGTTCAATGGCTCGTTCCTGGCCCGCCTGCAGAGTGGACCCTTCTGGCGGCACCTGACAGAGGCCGAGCGAGTATTCTGCCGCGAGAACTGGTGGAAGAATGTGTTCTTCGTGAATAACCATATGCTGGAGGACAGTGTGGGTACTATGTCAGCTGATCTACGCCTTGATCCATTTCATTCTCCTTGCAGTGCTCCCATCAGACCTGGTATTTGGCGGCGGATATGCAGCTCTTTGAGCTCTTCCTGATCGTCATTGTTATCAGCAAAAAGTAGGAGAACTTAGCTGTTATCATCTGCACTCACCCAAGTTTTTTTCAGGCATCCAATACTGGCTAAACCCATCTATATTGTTCTATTCCTGCTGGCTTTCGGCGTGCCTGCATTTCTCACATATCTCCTGAAACTCGACGCCGTCTACCACCTTCGACCAGAGTGAGTTTTCTTGGCGCTCGCCGTGCGATCGTTCACGGTTTTCATCTGATCCTCCTAGGACATATCGATACTTGTACTTTCGACAATCGGACACCTTCTACCAGATATATCCGCCCTTCTATACCAATCTGGCCGGGTATCTGCTGGGCTTCATTTGCGGAAACCTCTACCTGAATCAGCGCCACAGTGCCGTCGTCTATCGCGGACAGCGAAAGTACGAGCTAGGCTTGTGGCTGCTGGTGCCGGCTGCCTTGGGTCTGCTCCTCTCCGGCTACATATTCATCAGGCACGACTTCGAGAAGCCGTCGCTGTGGCTGGCCCTCTATGCGGGCCTCTACAGAAACCTGTGGGTCCTGATCTGCGGCGGATTCGTCTACTTCATGTGCTGCAAAGTGGGAGGTGTGAGAAACCGGTGGCTGCCATTAACTATCTCTCACTGTTTTGATTGCAGGTATCGCCTATAGATTCTGCACTTTGCCGGTGTTCCGTCCTCTGGCGCGGATCTCCTTCCAAGTATTTCTCTGGCACATTGTCGTCCTGCGCGTCGTGGCCGGGTACTTTCGGCAGCCGGTCTACGTGACTAGTTTCTCCTTGGTCAGTAATTTTATCAGCTAAATTAACCATTTTACATTGGTCTATGTTTGCCGCTTAGTTCTCCAATGTTGTGGTCGTGTTCGTTTTGACTCATGCGGTTGCGGCTTTTGTAGCGCTGCTGTTGGAATACCCCATGGTGGAGGTGGTAAAGTGCCTTTTTATGACGAGCAGAGGTGTGTGGACATGATTTCTTTGTGTATTAAATCCAAACAAGTAAAACAACGTTATTTCAGGAACAACGAACCCGCCAGCAAACAACAAAACAACAGAAATTCAAATGGAAAACGCATCAACAGCTGCTTAGTGTTCCAGGGCTGCAGCATTAACAATGTGTTTGCAAATAAATTCCCCTTAAATATTAGATATTCGCAATCGGTTTGAAAAACATAAGAAAATGGAAATACCCGATCATATTCAAAATTATGCCGGAAAATGGTTTTATGAACCATATTAGTGATTGTTATTTTGAAATAAAACGCCCAAAACTTCCGCTTATCGCACAAAAATATCGATATTTTGCATGTGTATCCATGAAACAGAATCAAAAGGCTTCGGGTATATCTTTTCTAATGAAACAACATAAAAAATAGTTTCGACTTGCTCTGAATTCATAGAAGTATTCAGTTATTTTCCAAAATATATATATTCAGAAGTCAAAAAAATATCACCTGCAATTATATTGTCAACAAAAATGATATCGATAGATTGATATCAATATATATTTAACTAGTTGGAAAGTCGGCGCATTTGACTGAAAAGTCTTCAGCTAGCTGTTCAATTCAAATTTGTTATTGCAAATCCGAAACTGCAGTGGGAAACCTATTTGCAAACCGCTGGCAAAGGTAAATCTCCAGATGAGTGACGAGTGCGAGTGATGATATTTTGGTTTTCTTGCGGCGACTTTGCGCTGCCACACTGCCAGCAGCATTAAATGTCAAGTGAAATGAATCACGGCGGCTAAAATAGAGGCAATTTGTGCAGTGGCAACTGCAGAACTTTGTGTTTTATCAGAGAAAAAAGCGGCCTAATCAATTGAATACTTCAGCAATAAACGCGCGTATTACAAAATCATTAAAAATCACGGTAAAAATATAAGTGCGAAACTGCGTCAGTGTGCGTGCGTGTTTCTTGTGCGAGCGGAGAGCACAGTGCATGTGAAGAGTGCAGCTATAAAAATTTTACTACTTCTCTCCCACTCTCGCACGGTGTTATATGAGTCCAACACCCAAAAAAGGGAATAAAGAGAAGCAGCGTCTTTGGACGCGCCGCCGCAGCAGCAGAAACAGAGACAGCGGCGAATGCCGAAAAATGTGCAAAAAGAAAAGAAAATCAAACAAATCGGAAAGCAAGCGAGCAGCAGCCGAATTTGTTGCTTCGCACTTAACTGTATTAATTGTTTTTTTCTTGCTTTTGACTGTAATTTGTGTTAGTTTTCCGGCTAACGTTTGGCTTGTTTATGCCCAGAGAGTGAGTGAGTGAGTAGTGAGAGAGAAAGAGCCAGAGAGGGACTGTGACCGAATCGGATGAGCGGGAAAGAGAAAGGAGATAGAGAGAATGTGCCAATTGTTGCTTGCAGAAGCAACAAGTTACACCAGAGGGGGGCCCGAAGAGAATGAGGAAGCGTTTTGAAGTGCGTGATGTGGGCGCCAACTTGAGACGATAATTTATAATTTGAAATATTTGTAGCAAACGGAGCCACAAACGTGGCTCCAAGTTGGTCAAAGAGTAGAATATCAGACACAGCATGTGCCTGTACTGGGCGGAAGTGTGTGTGTGTGTGTGTATGAAACAAGTGTGAAAAACGAGCGACCTCCAGCGGTGGCGGTGGCGGCTACGACGTCGTCTCGACTGCGTCTTAGAAAGTGCGAGCTAGCCCCCCACGCACAGTTATTTTTGTTTTTGTGGCTGTTGTCTCTGTTTCTCTTGGGCGCGCTTCCACCACCAATTAGTGACAAAATATTGTATGAAAAACGCACTGGCATCAAACACAACCACACACACATACGCATGCAATTAACGTTTATACGCTGGTGTAGATGGTGATCTCCCCCTCCTCTCACGCCACTGAACAGCTGTTCTTGCATATTGCGGTTATCAGCTGCGACAAGCTGCATATCGCAGTACAAGCAATCGCATAAACGCGTTCTCAGCACACACACACACACAATCACACCGAGATACAGAGAGAGAGGGACAGAGAGAAATATGCAAATTAAGCGACAGTGTCCAAAAAGACGACCAAACAAACGGCCTGCCGCCCAGTCTGACTAAGCAGAAAATAGCAACAAGTAGACAAAACGGTGGGAAAGAAGCAGAGACTGCATCGCTGTGCAATTAAGACAGCAGCAACAAAAACAAGCGACAGCCGCCACTCTGTTGGCGGAGGGGAAGACAGATCACTGGTGGTGTCGGGCGGGGTGCATATGCAAGTAGTTAATTTTAGCAACAGAGTTCCACTTTCACTCAAGCAGCAAAGACAACGGCAATGGAGACGAAGACGACGACAGCCAAGGCGACACCCACCAAGCCGACACTTGCGCAGTTTTTGTCAAAATTTTAAGTTAATCCCCAGTCAGACAAACAGTACATAGAGGGGGCAAACAAACAGTTTGATGAACCTTAAACGAATATCCAATGACGTTGTCACAGTGCATCAATGACATCATCGTCATCGGCAGCGAAAGTTTTCAATGCAGCTGACAGTCGATAAGCAATGTGGCCCTCTCTCCTCCACCATACTTATCGGACATAAATGGTGGTTAGTCGGATGACTCATGAATGCATGCTGCATGCCTCAGTATTATGAGCACAGATCATGGTGACACCTTCGCTATTGTGAGCTTATTAGATGCCGTACTGCCGCATGCACAATGGAACATTGTAACGGGGCCTCCATTGGCGCAACTGGAGCACTGAAGGCATTCCCCCCTCCTCCATCACTTGAACTTTATTTCACTTTACTCGCTCACATTCGACTGCATTGCATTTGTGGCGGCTGCTGGAAATTACTACGCTTAATTGACTGCACCGCCAAGTCATCTGCGCTCTCTTTCTATCCCTGCAATCCACTCTCCCGCTGAGAGGGCACTGGGCGCTTAAGTCACGCCGCCAAGCAGCAGCGACACAACCACATTTGTTAGCAATTAGAATTGGCCGGTGAACAAAGCGCAAAGATTTCCAATCAAGCATTAAGTCGATTTGTGGCCAGTGCCGCTCGAGAGATCGGCAACTAGTTAGCCCGTTTGGCCGCTGGACCATTGCAATCAGATGGTGACAGCCGCTTGAGGCAAGGGGCATGCCATGCCCCTAAGGCAACATCATCATCAAATGATAAAAAAAGGCTGCTGACACTGTATGTCGGTTGACAGCTCCCATTGTCTTTGGAAAGAGAGCGGGATCAATCAGTTGGAGACGGCTTTAAACGTAGATTTCTCGCCTACAACCCATATATGCAAGAATTCTATTTGGGATCAGCAAAATCCTTGCCGTATATTCCCCTATATTCTGGACATGTGTCACATTCTTCAATCAGATTTTTGACACAAACTGTAATGCATTTATGTTTAATCTGACGTTAAGCACTAAATCATACCACCCCCATGGCGATATTCGTATAAAATTCCTTATACTATATTTACATACATATGTATCTATATACGATTATGCATAAGTATGAGTAGCAACTTCCGTTATGACCCTTATCGCTGCTAGGCTTCCAGTTCGAAGCAAAGGCAATAGCAAGTGCATGTGTTGAATATCCGATGATAAGGCAACATTTTTGGCATTTGGAAATTTTATTTAAAAATGCATTGAGGGTTCGCTGCTACGGAGGGGGTTATAGAAGGAGGATTGGGGCGAGGCTGATAGCTCAGGCATGGCAAATGCCAGCGATGCCAACGAAATGAATAAACACATCAAATGCGATTTACATCGCTTCTCTGTGTGTATGTGTGTGTGTGTGTGTATGTTTCTATATAAAAATTAAATAAAATTTCGTCCGAAGATGATTTAATTTTCTATTAATAAGTTTGACCTTCAACCAACAATTTTTCCCGCCTGCAAGCGAAGGTGTTCGGCATATAAACACATAAAATATCCGATACATGCCATTTAGATATAGAAATTTTTCTATATGTATACACATTCTGTGCTCGTTTTGGAGAATAATATTCCAATTGGTCTTCGAACATTTCAAAGCTTGCTAGAGACGGTCTGAATCACTTGAACATTATCTTTGTTGTATTTAGGCAGCTCCTACTTAGCTGATATTTCTTTATCAGCAGAGAGCCCGCCACGATAGGGGATAGGTGCCGCCTCTCAAACACTGGAACTGAGAACTGGCCAACACCCAAGAACAGATACAGATACCGATACAGTCACAATCACAGCCAAGAAGGGCTAACCTTGTATCCAGAAATACACGTACATACATATTCTTTGATGGCTCTTCGGGCTTTTCGGTTTTTAGTATTTTAGCGGGTCAATGACAAACTTTTGTGGCTGTGCCCGAGTAATAAATATAAATGAATACTTTTAAGCAAAACAAAGCATAAAAGTAAAACATTTTTGCGGCACTTTTTCTGATTAAAAACGAAAGCTGGTCGGATCGGAGGCGGAGGCAGAAGGCAGCCCAACCCAGAAATTTATAAAATACGAATTCCGGGGCTATCTAGAAGTCTCTCTCGGAGTGTTAGAGTTTTGTCAGATTGTGGGCTTGGGGGTTTGTGCCATAATTCACGTGTTGGCAGGCGATTCACTATGGATATATTTCAGCATTATGATGTCATATGATGTCGTAAAAAGGGGTTCCGAGAGGTTGGCTTGTTCTCTGACTAAACTGATACGACACGTTTCGGCTTGCCTGGTGGTTCATTGAGTGGCGCCATTTGTGGCAGGTGTCAGGTGAAAGCATGGTTCTAGGTGTCCCCTTGCCGCGTTTCCAGTTCAAAATTTCCGGTTTCAATCGCGCAGATATTGATACTATAAAAACTGATGCTATAACCGATTTCGATGCCACAATAGTTGGTAATATTCGAATGGGAAAGCGTATTGATTTTCGCAACAAGCAAACAGCATTAGCATATGCAAATTTATAAAACAAATCGTGGCTGCGAAACGGGGAGAAAGAAAACGCGTTAAACACATCAACACACACTCAAGCGCAGCTAATGATCGTTTATGCGTCGCTCGAAGTTCGGATTTGCCGGCTATGTTTGGCCATCTCTCTCCTCCCCCCGAGTATGCCCAGACAGAGATAGAGAGTAAAATACATTTTCTCTTCTTCCAGAGCTTTAGAAACACAAGAGAAACTCAACCGACTGAGCACTGACCACTGACCTGCCGGCAACCCAAGCGAACCCCAAGAGAGCCGACACCAGCACAGCACCAAGATGTCATTTCGGGTGGTACGCAGCTCAAAATTTCGCCACGTCTATGGCCAGGCCCTGAAGCGGGAGCAGTGCTACGACAACATACGCGTCTCCAAGTCCAGCTGGGACTCCACATTCTGCGCCGTCAAT